TGTGTATGTGTATGTGTATGTGCAGATGCAGATGCAAATGTAGATGTAGATTTATCTGTATCTGTATAGTATAGGCATATGTTTATGCATACGTAGATGTTTAAGTTTATGTTCATGTTTATGTTTGTGTTTATGTGTANNATGTCTATGTGTATGTGTATGTGTCTGTGCATGCACACATATATGTGTACAGTGCCGGCGATACCGCGCCTCCCGGCATGGCCGAGCTCGGCGAATGGGCCTGGAGCGCTGGTTTGTCGCTTTACGCACATCGAGCGGCCACGCATTCGAGGGATGAAGCACGGCTGCTGCAGGAATTCCCGCTGCTGCCGGACTTGCGGTTTGCATGGCTCATTCTCGCCATGTGCGTGGCCCGCGTGCAGCTCGCCTGCTGCGCAACATGCTTCCCGACCTCTCAGCACCGTACGCACGCGCGGCCATTATATGATGCAGTTTGGCAGTGCTTGCGCGACTTGATATGCGAGCCCGAGGCTTCGCTGCCGCCTGTCGGACCTGCCGCCTCACGACCGGCACACGTGGGCGGACTGCATGGCTGCAGACCGACTCTGTGCTCGAGTTGCCCTGTGCGTTGCTCGGGTGCGCCCTGCCTCCGCACTGCCGCTGCAGTTGGCACCCGCATCAGACCCACACGCAGGCTGGAAGGGTCGACCCTCTCGGAGTGCCATTCGCGACGGGCCCTGAGCGAAAGCATTTGGGCCAACTGCCTCGCCGCCCAGAACGTCGCGTCGCAAAAAAGCGCCCCGTCCAGCGGACTGGCCCAATAGACCACCAAGTCTAGCCGGCGCCATTTTGCCTGTGTGTTGGGTTTGTTCAAGAATCATATGCAAATTTGGACGGGTTTGACATCGCTTGGAGACAGACATCGCGTGGCCTTCATGCCTCTGCGCATGTCGATTTCCTCAAGCTTCTCTGAGGTGAAGTTTTCATGAGCAAACACAAAGGCTGCCGAAGCCAACGGCACTTCACTTGCATGAAGCAACTACCGTTGTTACGGTGAAGTTTGGTGATGTGAAATCCACCGATGTCGGGCCATGGCTGCCAAAACCGAAGAAACCAAGCTAGTTCGTCTTGGATCAGCTGAGACTTGCCTGCAAGCTTGATAAACTTGGGATAGCATGTCACCTCATTTCTGGAAGATGTGTGTGCGGATTTTGATTTTTTGGCAGATTGTTGGCTTGCAAGGAATTCTTGGTGGATGGTTTTCTTTTCCAACGTCGAGTGCCCAGATTCGGAGATGTTCCGTGCACGCTCGTTTCTGGTGGCTGAGCCAGGAAAGGATGTTTCACACTACGTGCTGACCCATTTCCACAGTGATCACACTGTGGGTTTGACACGAAACTTCGATTGTGGGACGATTTACTGCACAGAGACTTGGTGGCATGGTGGGATAGATGTTTGCCTCTGTAGGCTCTGTGTGAGAGTCGGATCTGGTCAGCAAGTCAGGCTAGTCCGGCTAGTCAGTTGCACCTAGTGAAGGGGCAGCCCCAGGTCAGCCGAGCACAGCATGCTGCAGTTTGTGTTTTGTGGCTTCCATCGATTGCCTTGTGCCGCTCTGCATGTGCTGTGGACGTGCAGAGGATGTGACAGCAGCCTTGATCACTGAAATGATGGGCGTGGACGCCGCGCGGGTGGTGGCATTGCCGCTGCAGCAACCGTTGCAGGCAAATATGCTAGGCTGTTCGAGATCATGAGAGTCCACGACATGGTTTGAGAGAAGCAGGCATATCGGATGTAGCAAATTCAATAGCTGTTGGCCCTCGTCCTCGTGTTCAAGCCACATGACACATTGCCGACCAGTTTGCGCCATGGCGGCTCGAGCAGGCCCTTAGGTTTCATTGTCGATGTAGCATGTCGAAACTGGAGGAAGTCGGACAGCACCGGGACAAGCTGTCAACGCGTACTGTCACAGCAAGTACTGCAGTGCTCACTACATTGTTGAGGAGCTGTGCCCACATGGAACCCAAGGATCCAAAGTCGGCGGCAGAAGCTGCCGTCCGTGCAGCTTTTCGTGAGGCCGATCTTGCTAAATTATGTTTTGACTGTAGGTTGGGCCAGGTTGTGTTCCAGCTTCAGTGGCAGCTGAATGGATATTTTGCACAAGTCCTGATGTTAATTTCACTCTAATTAGTTTTGTTGCCGTTTGTCCCTGTGCGCGAGTTCGACACTGACAAGAGTGGCTTCATCGACCGCGAGGAACTCAAAGCAGTGCTTGCGGCCTTGAATCCAGACCTCGCCAAGAAGGACCCGTGTTGCAGCGTGCAAGCGCATGTTTGGTTGCTTGTGTGCGCAGGTTTCTGTTTGCGTGCTTCTCTGGTCATCAATGTCGTGTTTTATTGTTGGATCTGGGGAAGCCATCTTCCTGTTCCGTCCAGATGCCATCTGCCTGAATTGTTCGCTTGTCTTTTGTGTAGCAGCGCAGCAGTGCAGCAGCACATTCGAGAAAATCTCGCGGAGGATGAGGAAGTGGATACACTTTTCGAAGCCTCGGATGCCAACAAGGATGGGAAGATTTCAGTGGAAGAGTTTTGCAACTACGTGTTCAGCGAGAAAACCTCAGCTGTCCACACGTGGCACCTCAAGGACGGGAGAGTGCAGCAGAAGTTCATCGATGGCCGTACTCGAGTTACATTTCCAGATGGCTGCACGATTGATGCATACAAGAACGGTTTGAAGATTCAGACCGACATTGATGGTACAACAATCATGACAGATCCGGATGGAGTGTCGCAAACCAGTGTCATGCCTGATGGAACCTGTATCATGGAGTCCGCAGACGGCAAAGTTTTCACAAGAAAGCCAGATGGTACAAGCATCACACAAGATCCGAGTGGAACTTGTGTCCAAATCGATCCACAGGGTGACCGCACGATCACTGACCCAGACGGGCGCACAACTACCCATTTTGCCAACGGCGCAGTGGTGGAAAAGTTTTCGGCTCAACAGTCTGCTAAAAATGGAGCTGCCCGTGTTCAGCGTTGCGCGTCTGGAGCACTAATTGTGACATATTCAGATGGCAGGAAAGTCCAGTTTAGTCCCTCGGATGGTATTCTCTTAGAAACAGCCGGTGACGGCAAGACAAGCCTGCAAAGGCTTCCTGACGGCTCTGGCATTCGCCACCACAAGAAAAACCCTCACAACGATGAGCATCTGTCGCCCTTGGACATGGATGTTGAGATCTCCAGTGGACGGAGTAAACTGCCGAAGCAGGCAGCAACGCCTCCAGTCGTCGAGTTTTCATCCCTAGCGTCGGCCCTGAACTGTGAGATTTTGTCGGCGCCTGCATCGCCGGTGAAGAGAAAAAGCAGCCTCAGAAGCCTCCAAGAGGAATCTCCAGAAATCGCATCTGGCCAGTGCAGTCAAGACTCTCCAACATCACCAGTACAACGAGCGGTCGCTGTGGACCAGTTGACCGGTGGAGGCCAGCGGACCACTTTTGAGGGAGGCCTGGTTGTTGACCATCATGTGGATGGCACAGTCCTGGAGACACAGCCAGGTGGACAATCGAAGCAGATCAACCCAGATGGAACCATCATCTTGGTTGACAAGGCATCTGCGACTGAGACGACTCTGCGCCCGAATGGGACAAGTATCACCAGGCACGCAGACGGTCACACCATACAGAAGAATGCAGATGGAACCACTCTCATTAAAGCCGCCGATGGTGTGCTGACCCAGATTGATCCAGATGGAGGTCGCATAGTGACCCTTCCGAATGGCGAGAAAACCAGCCACTTTGCAGATGGTACGGTAGTCCAGAGTTGGCCCAACGGAGAAAAGCACCAGACCTTTCCCGATGGTTGTACAATTTCAACACACCCAGACGGATCCTCGGAACAGGTTGATCCTGATGGAACCAGAATCGTCGCTCTCGCAGACGGCTCCAGCACAGTACTGAAGCCAAGCGGTGTGAAGATCATAGCTGCAGTCTCAGGTGAGACGCTTCAGACAGACCCGGATGGATGTCAGATTCGGACCTTCTCAAATGGTCGGAAGGTTCAGAAAAGTGCAGACGGCTTGATTTTAGAGATTTTTCCAGACGGGACCCTGCGACAGTGCAAGCCGGATGGATCAGGCTTTGAGCTCAGTAGTGGCAGCAGAATCCAGACGGACTTTGGCCGGGGCACCTTGACGGCCTCTTTGGATGGCATCCGCGGCGTGCCGAAAATGTGGCGCTAAGTGCACGTCATGGGCTGGCGTTGTTGGTCGTGGTAACACAGCTACACAATCCTTGTCCCGTAGTGTGCGGAGTCAGTACCAAGCATTCAGCTTGCAGGTTCAGGGTGTCTGGCTGACCTTCGTGGATGCGGGACACTGTCCCGGCAGTGCCATGGCGGTGTTTGAGGACTGGGATTTGCAGATCTGCACTCGCAGTCAATTTACGTTGAGCTGCCACACAAATATGTAGTTAGATATGAGATATTTCTCCATAGATGCACACAGAGACGTTTGTATATGATATCAAGTATACACACACGCATGTCTGGCTACTCGCTTGCCCGTAGATATGCTCGCATACGTATAAACAAGTATAAACATACATACAGACAGACTGATAGCCAAACAGACACATCGAAGCATCGCCTCGCGACCGACGGACAGACAAGACGCAGGCAAACATTAGATTGTATCATTACATGATGCTACATGGGCTCCTCCGCATGACGTTGCATTACGTTACGCTACCTTGCGCTTCACTGGTATCGCAAAGCACTAGAAGATATGAGGGCGCATTGCGTCGCGCGTGGAACACACGGTATCATACATTCACAGTATCATACGTTTGATGGGTGGACGGATGTGCGTGCATGTGTGCTCGTGTTGGGGGCACATATGTGCTCAAAAATATGTGCAGGTGTAGATGGCAGTGTGTCGCTGTGTGCATGCATGCTGTTTGTGAAACCCTTTGCTTGTTTGTCGTGTCCGGTGTAATGGTTCCCTACGTCGCAGTGCTGGACTGTGCAATCCCAGGCATGGTATGGTCTGTTTTGGTGAGGTATGGTACGGCGTGGGTCAGCTTGTACAGGAGAGAGAGAAATTAGTGGTTGCTCCCTCTCCCCTTACCCTTGTGAAAGAATGACTTGTGAATGTACGGTTCGTGCTGAACACGGCCGTGAGTGGTCAAACGACAGTGTTGCAAGCTTGCAGTCCCAAGGGTAACTATTGACCATTGTACCCACGCTTACTTCTTGCGCTCCAACAGTGACCAATGTGCCCGTGGAAATTTCACTGGCTGCAAGCTTGCTTTTCGTTGATGACGATGTCATTAATGAGTTTGAGTTTGAGGAAAGAGTATGTTCAAATCTATTTTGTATGCTTTTCTTCGTGCACGGTTCGCCAAAACGTGCCCATGCAGTGGGTGGGCCTCTTGGCCCGGGGAACCTTGCACTGTACGTTCCCCTTGCCCTGGAGAGAGAGAGAGAGAGAGAGAGATGTCGATCCTTTCCCGGGGAACACTCCGTTGCATAAGTAATTCAGTTGGACGTCCAGAGGGAAAGACTAGTCGTTATTGTTCATGTGGCCTTCCTTTACACCCCAAGTGACGTCGTGGTGTCCCAACATAAACTTTCAATAGTGCCTCGGGGAACTTATGTCGTGGTTTGAAGTCGTGGTATGTCGTTTGTACTCCCTACACGGCACTGCTCTTGCACTGCTCAACAATCTTCTCACACCCCTGAAAGCCCCAATAACAATTGGGGGGCCAACTGACCGGGGGGTTTAACAGACCCCTCATGCCCTGGGGAAGAAGAGAGAGAGCGAGATCAGCTGCTATCCGTGCGCACAGTTGAGCACTTTTACGGTTGTATAGGGGGGAAGGAGAGAATTCGTACCCGCACTTATTTTCCTCTCCCCTTGTTTTCTGAGGCCTCGGATGACCCACGTGTAACAAGGAGTTAGTGGGTTGCTGTTTCCGATGTTGTTTGGGGTCGTGTCGGGCGTCAGCCTTACGGACTGTGTTCTAGGTACGGATGACCTGCGTGCAGCCTGCAGTGGTGTAGTGGTCTTAGGAGTACTGGTGCTTTATGGGGGAGTCGCCGAACACTGTCTTCAACCCCCGAATAAGGGCCGAGCCGCGAGACTGTTGCGCACCACGGGGGTGGGCCCGGCCCTCGGGCCAGGGGGCTTCTTGTCCCCAGAGCCCTAGCAAGCAAGCACGCAAGAGAGACTAGAGGTGGAAAGGATGCTGCAACCCCGAATACAGGGCCGAGCCGACACACAGCCTCGCGGGTAGGCCTTCACTGCGCCCCTCGCAAGCAAGCAAGACTCACAGGAGGAGAAGACTACCGCGAGTCAAGTGAAGTGAAGGTCACACCAAGCAGTTCTAAAAGAGGCGAACCAACCAGATACCCCGTGCTATGCTGCAGGCGCTTGGAAAGAAAGAATGGGTTTTTCGTTTTTCGAGCATGAGTGTGTGCGATTGCATTGTGCCGTCACGCGCATTGTTCATGCAGGCCGACAGGTAGGCTGGCGAGCACTGAGTTGGTTTTCACAGGAAGACCATTCCTCCGGGAGTTCCGCGACGCAAAGCGTTGTGCTCCACACAGGCCGGCATGATCGTACTCAATCTACTTTTAGTATGCTCTGGTATGTCAGACTTTTTTTGTGGTTGCGTGTATCTTCTGGGATTCATCGTTCCATCACATATGAAGGTCAAGAAGCCCCCAGTACGGCCTTGTGCATGCATTGTGCGTGCGTACGTGCGTGCGTGCGTGCGTGCGTGCGTGCGTGCGTGCGTGCGTGCGTGCGTGCGTGCGTGCGTGTGTGTGTGTGTGTGTACTTCCTTAGCACATGGGAAAGAGGGTCACTCCTATACAGGTCTGCCTTTTCGCACTGCAGGGGGATGCCCGCCCCCCCACACCTGAAGAGCGGGCATCTAACAAAGAGGCTCTTCAGAGTGTGCTGATATGGTTCCGGGACGCTGGAGCCATGTACCTGATCAACACGGCAGCCCCCTGTGGTGCCAAGATTGCACAAACAACCCCGCCTTCCCCTCTTCTCTGCTCTGCTCTCTTGCTCCTGCCGAAATCCCACAGGTGTGTGTGTGTGTGTGCGTGTGTGTGTGTGTGCGCACCTTATTGCTTCACAATAACTCACAACAGGGCTGCCGGTAGCATCTTGACATGGCATACTCGCTTCGTCCTGCTATGTGATGCTAGTGACATCTTCATCGTCGACGCCGGCGCTGTGAATGTTGATATAAACGTAAGGATCTGAGGACATGCTACATCAGATGCCATGCCATTCAGCGCTGGGAGTGTGACGGCGTAACTGCTGGCGATGTGAAGTCGTAGTAATACAGAGTGACATAGCTAGATCTGCGTAACTTGGTAACCAGGGTAGATGGCAACCGCGACTGGTAAACGGTGGCAATACAAAAGTATGGATGTAGATCAGAGTGAATCTAGTGTTAATGATCTTTCAAGGTTTGAATCACGTCCACACTGTTCGAATACCTCGATGAATCCTTTGCATGTAACAGGTGACTGCCGTGCTTCAGCACAGATACGAGACGGCCTGATGGACTGGCTAGCCGGTCGCACGGTGGCTGAAGCTTGGCATGGGATTTATCAGATGCTGGCAACTTCGGCGGGTATTCTGGCATCTACATCGAATCTACACCTAGTCTGCACCTAAAGCCGACCGGCAACATACGTGGCAAGCATTGAAGATCTGAGGAGCTTTTCCTGGACACCACGTACTGTGCTCGCCGCTGGACCTTCCCAGCACAGCTGCTTGGTGTGTAAACAAACAAAGGCCGAAGCGAAAGTCAAAACATGGCCAGCCACAAAGATTCCATAGCCGTGCCGATCGGCGCTACAGAGTGGGAGGCCAAATAGAGTAGAGTATTTTCCGGAAAGCAGCAAAGGAAATCATTCATGCCCATTTGAGAGGAAGGGAACCTCTGCAAAACACTCCAGGCAAGAGGCTTGCAGCTGGCTGGCAGAACTGACTGCAGCGGAGCTCCAGCGCGAGCCAAAGACCCTCTTCGTGGTGCCCCGGCGAGAAGTTTTCCAGGGATGTCTCGCAAATGGTGGTGGCAGCATGGCATGAGAAGTCGGACGTCGATGTTTAGCATGACAGACTGCCAAGACAAAGCCAAAGCCAACGCCGCCAGATGTCAGAATCAACCCAGGTTGGATGCTACCAGATCGGGAAGGCGAGCATCCGATGCTGTAGGTGTAGAACAGTCGCCCTACCTTACGGTCAGAGCACCAAAGTCACAGTCGCCTCTCAGTAGACTCGTTCTGTTTCCGTTTCTCAGGAACGTGCGGCCCAAGCAGTGGCCGAGGCTGCTGGGTCCTCCGTTTTCGTCGAGCAGCGACGCTGGAAAGTCATCCAGCTTGCAGGCTTGGGGCTGGGGCTAGCATGGTCTTGGCCTTCGGTTGAGCTTAGCGCCTTGGGCAGGTTGGGGCGAGGCCTGTCTAAAGTCCGGCCAGCCTCTGTGGAGCATCGACAAGGAAGGCTGCTGTGTCTGGATGTCCGTTGCCTGGTTGCAGCTTCGGAGCGGCATGAAAGGGGCCCGCGAGAGCACGAAAGATGCTTAGGCTCTGGGCGGTCTGGCTCACGATGTCTTGAAGCACTACCTGGACTCCACCAAGGCAGCATGGAAGCTTCGCTTGCGGGTTGCAATACTCAGAAGCTTGGCAGGGGCAGTTCGAATCGGTGGTGGCATTCAGCCCGACCGGATGGGCATGGTCGCCCAAAGCCATGGCCAAGGGGTCGCTTGCCTGAGAGAGTGAGTGAGTGAGTGAGAGAGAGAGAGAGAGAGAGAGAGAGAGAGAGCGAGAGACAGAGAGAGCTGATTTATGCTCGCTTGTGACACCCCGTCCTGCAAAACAATTGCGGGTGGGCTAATAAGCCCGGGGGTTTTGACAGACCCCCATGCCCGGGAGAGAGGGAGAGAGAGAGAGAGAGAGCACACAAACACGCAGCCTTGCTGGGTACCAGTCCTGGCCGAGTACCAGGCGAGCCCGTCCACGCAATATGCTGGATGGGGTTGCTCACCGGAGCGGGAGTGGGGACTGCCCACTCCTCATATCCCGAGCAAAGCGAAGATGAGAGAACAAGAGAGAACAAAAGAGAGAGAGAGAGAGGCATAAAGCACGGACTGTAAGTGAAGTTAGACGAAGCAGGGCACACGCGGGTCGTGCGGGCAATGGCCTTAGGAGTGCTGGCTGCCGTGCCTGGATTGAGAATGATGGGCGCACCAGGGTCTACAGTGTGCCCTACAGTGACGTGGCAGACAGAGTCGAAGGGGGTGGCGACATATTGACTGCACATTCTGCGCAACCGCATGTGACATAGCTTGGGGCATCTGGGGCAGCCAGGTGAACACTCGTCGTTTACGGAGTTGCAGTCTTTCGTCAGCGCCATCAAGCCCGGGCGGTTGATTCCAACCGTAAACTCCGAGACCAGCAAGCAAAAAGCCATTGAACTGTGGCATCCGTAGCCGGCCCACTTGACCATGGTATGTGTCACTGTGTCAACCTGCCCTCTTGCATGCAAGGAAACTCGCGAAAGCAAAGAGCGCATGATGGCTCCCTTCTTGGATGTGCTGGACCTTAAATGCGATCCGGTCAGCCAGCTGCACAACTCCCTGTGCTCATGGCGCGTGGAGGTTGTCATTGAAGCCTGAGGAACGCATGGACCACTACATTTTCGGGGGTAGCTCATCTTCGTCAGCATGCAAGCCGGAGACAGCGGCTTGCCTGAGAAGTCCAGCTTTTGTTGTGCAGACGCGCGCTCCTTCACAATCTCCAAGGTTGCGCGGTGTGAGTCGTTCGTGGACGTGCTGTCGCTGTCAAGCAGGGTGCCGGATTCGCAGCCGCCGGAATCTGCGGATGATGCGGAAGACAGGCCTAGAGACTTGACCATGCGCAGTTAGTTGGTACTTCAGTTGCAAATTTTTGAAGGAGTGCACTGTTGAAGACTGCTGCGACGCCCGTCTGGCGGACCGGAGTGCTGTCTGGCTGCAGGCTGTCGCGTCGTTGCAGGAGACGATGGTTTCACACGGCTTCGACCCGCAAGATATTTTTGGTTTCATCTTCACTAGAAACCCACTCCGCATCAACATCTTGTCGTCTCGCTAGTGGTGATTGCCATTCGGCCCCCCCAAACAACGGACGAATCCAACGCGTACTTGCATTCTCCGTCGTTTGCAATCACAGGACGTACTGTGCGAGAAGGATTCATTCAGTTTAATTCCGATTTTAGTTGGCTCAGCATCCACAGATCCAATATGATCCAGCAGCCCGCAGCAACCAAAACTACAGTGTGAAGCTGGCCCGCAGTACGAATCTGGATACTGAACATGCTATAAAATGCTGGCCTTGACAGCCTTTAACTTGTTGATGTCCCTGCTCCAATCCGGAGTCAACCTTCTAACCAATTGAGCCGTGGAGGGATGTTTCCGGGTTGTTGCTCTGTGCATGGTTTGAGTGGATAGCTGGTTTTGGCTTGTTCTGTGGGTCCCCGTTGACGAGAGAAGCTCATTCAACCGACGTTCGCCTCGACCACTGTGTTCATCATGCAGATGCCCGACAGGCCATGCAAATCAAGTCAGAATGCACCTGAAGCCAGCTTGCATGATCTTAATCTTGTGTGCCAGTAGATGACTAGTTCGGACAGCGTTGTATTCCGTTCAGTGCGGCCATGGCGCGATTGCGTCGCCTGACGCTCATCGGCCTGTGGTGCTCAGCACATGCGCGGACAGCTTCGTCCATTCCAGGTTGCCGAGGGAGGGCCGAGAGGGCCGAATAGGGCCACCAGTGTTTTGGGCTAGCGCTGCAGTCTGACGAGTCTGTCGATGTTTGTCGAGGCTCCCTTCAGGCTGTGGTGTCCTTCTACGAGGAAAGAGTCGGTCAGCCAGAGTGGTTGGAGGTCTTCGAAGCCGTGCGATGGTATTCCGATGCCGCTGCCGCGAACTACAGGAAGCTGAATCGATTTCTTAGGGACGGGCCGGGTCTGCTGGGGAAGCAGGAGAGGGACCTTTGTTCGCAGAAGGTAAAACTTCTGGATGCTCTGGGAGGGGCGGCGCCTGTTGTGGGAAAGACTGGTCTGACCCTCTGGCGAGGCTTCTCAAGCTTCTCTTACGTGCAACACCTCCGCGGATTAAGTGCCGTCACAGAGTCTCCGCCTTTCGTCGTTAAGGACGAGGCCTACATGTCCTGCTCCCTGCTGGAATCCGTTGGAAACTTCTACGCGCGGCGCCATGCCTTGCTCCCTGAAGACTTGGAAGATGCCATCCTCCTAAAGATCCAAGTGCCACCGGGTGCTCGGGTGATTTGTGTCTTTTGCAGTGGCGCAGGGGTGCCTAATGAAGAGGAAGTCATGCTTCCAAGAGGCAGCACAATTCGGGTGGAACGGCTTGTTCCGAGGAGCTCGGAAACTTCCGTTCTCCAGGTCCAAGCAGTCCTCCTAGTAGACAATGCAACATGCGAAGCTGAATAGCAGAACAGCCGCCAAAAGAAACCAGTTCAGCGTCCTTGCCCTTACGCGGCACTGCTGTCGGTCCAAGTCTGGGCCATGCCGCATGGCCATGCACATCAGGCATTTGAAGCCTGGAGCCATGGACCTGGACTCCGAGGCCTGTGCAGAAAGCGGTCTGCAGACGGTTGAGTGAGGTTGTGTGGGCGAGGGATGCCAGATGACTTCACAGTTGTCGTGCACCGCATGGCCGCAGGATTCCACGACAGCTGGTGGCAGCTCCTCTTCCACGTCTCCAGCACGAGTGGCCAGACGACACCTGGCGAGTTTGGGACGCTGCTAGCCTAGGCAAACCGAGGTCCAGCCCGACCAAGACCCGGAGATGCAGGAGTGGCCATCCACGACTGGCTCAGAATGCGCGGCGCCAGGCTCTAGACTCTCTAGACTCGAGACGCGGATGTGATCCTGTGTTCAGCGCCAACATTCTTGAACTTCTCGCCAGACTCCGCAAGCGGCTTGATTGTGGAGCTGTCGGACTCGCAAGACGAGGATGCAGTTGAATTTTGTGCCCAGCTTGAGGGTCTTGAGGGCTGGGTTCGCACGGGACAGGCGGCGGAAAAAGAACCAGAAGCGGACGCTGAAGCGGACGATCTGCGTTGTGTCGACGTGGAACAGCAGCGAAGGCTCATGTCTGCAGCCACGCGTTTCTTATGTAGCACCTGGTCATCTGCACGTGACCGTGTCATGCGAGGCTGCTTCGATTCTTTGAGTCTGCCGGTAGAAGCAAAGACGACAAAGATGCGAAGGCCTGGCACTCGCTTTCACTCAGTGGAGGCATGTTGTTCATGTTGACGGTACCGCGCAGGGTCCATCCAAGCTCGCTGCAAAGAAGCCGGCAAAGAGCACGGGCAAAGGCAAAGGCAAGGGCAAAGGCG